AATGTTTTTGATAAATGTCAAAAGTGAGTATCGTAGTCTGTTTTAACAGTAACGGGTGTTTGTCCTTCGTTTGGGTCTTATTTCTTTTTCAATTTCACCAAAAGAAATACAATAAGTTGTAAGAATGTGTTCATGACGTGTTTTTACTTGTAAGGTTAACTTTCTGTCTCTGTCTGTTTCAGCAGGAGGATGGAAACTGACGACTGCTGTGACAGTTCCTGCTATTTTCCTCATTATCATACTCATCTTTGTCGTCATATGGATCATGTGAGCAGTTCTTTTTCAGCAAATACTTGTTCATGATTAATGCATTGTACCCTCACAAACAACAATATGGTTTACTTTTCTATTTGAATGCACCTCACCAGAAAGAAGAGGGCCTGCAAGCAACCGTCTGAGCCCGGAGACAGACCAGAGAACAGTGAACAGGTGAGGAAGTCTCTGAATTTATGAATCAGGGACGGTTGAACTCTTGACATAGTGTTTGATTTGTTTGCCTACAGCAATGTTTGTCCTATTTGTTTGCTGTAAGTGCTTCAGCTTTTGCTCTCTCCATCCTGGTGCTTCACATGTTGGGTTTTTCCAAAAAACTGATGATTTTCTGAGAGCTCCCCAAAAAAGGAAAGTGAGACCTTTTGGGTTGCGTTGCTTTCCTGGCCATGATAAAGACACCCAAGGATCATCAGCATTCAACAAGGCAAACCATAACATTATGAACTGCTTTTAATGAAACACCAAAAACAGGATTGGTTTCTGATTCAAGTCTCAAGGTCCCTCTTTTGCTTTCAGTAAAATTACAACTTCTGTCTCTGTAAATAACTCAAGCCTTGAATCCTGTCTTTCAAAAGTCTGTCTGTAAATAATTGAATACTCTTTGTTGTCCGGTGTTCACAGATACAACCAGCAGAGGAGCAGGATGAGCTTCAATATGCCACTGTCGACTTTTCCAGGAACCAGGCTGATCCTCTCTACTCCAACATCCAACCAGTTAAACCCCAAAGACACAAGAAAAAGAAGAAGAAGAAGGAGAACAAGAGGAGATGGTTGAGTACTCTGTGGTTAACTTTAACAGCGGCGGTGCAGCCCAGAGGTAAAACAACTCCTCACATAACATGATCTTTAACCACAAAACTATTGTTTTCATCATTCTGTTATTGTGTTTTCATCATTTACCGTGATCACTGTTGGCCTGTTATCATATAATCTCATGTCTTTCTTCTTCTCAGCACCAGTGGTCAGCAAGCTGCAGATCCAGCTGCATTGTACAGTACAGTCAACAAACATGGACAAAGAAACCTCTAGTTTACTCTCATCCAATGAAATCCTTACAGGAAACCACTTTGAGAATGAATCCTCGGGACAGACTCCTTCAAGAACGCAGCTAGACCTGCATTTAATAAATGACTTCAAACAGATAAATGATGTTAGTATTAAGCTTTGTGAATGACTTACTGTGGTCCACCTGTAAAGTGATTATGAATTATTTTACAGGATTAATAATGAGTTTTACATTAACAAGACTCAGGTTTAAACAAATCAAACAAGTATTACTAGTTAAAAAGTATTTACCTTTATTGTTAATTGTTGTTGTCAAGAATCTTATTTTGTATTCATCTGTTTCTTATTGTTTTGTGGGGGAAGCTTTTATTTTGAAGGCTGATTTGCTTCTTACTTGCTTTAAGCCGGATATTAAAAGACTCAGGTAGGTAGACAGTCAGTGTGTTAATTGATTAAAAAACTCACTGTTATCCACGCCCTACATTTTAGCAACCAGCTGGAAGGTGTACAAGGTACAACCTTTGTAATCTTTATGATGTTTTCAGTGATTTATTTAAGCGTGCTAGCCTTTAGCTTAGCCATGCTATCTCATTCGCTCGCCCTTAGACCTTGGTTAATTGAGTCCTGTTAAATGTAGTTATTATGTTGATTTTTTTTGCTAAATTTAATTGCTCATTTTACGTGTATTTAAGGCCTATAGTTATCAATACGTGATTTATATATATTCTTTGGTGTAGTTAGTAAATGTTATTAATATGGTTCTTTAACTTTGTTGTTTGACTTGGTAAAAATGTTCTAAATTAACCTGACTATCTATTTTTATACCTTATCTCTTGTTATGTGTTAATATTATAAATATTTATGGTCCTTTTCTCTGTTTTGGGTTTAATGGTTATTTGCATGTTTATAAAGTTTGTCTTTCTGTTGTGTTTTATGTACAGCTCTTACGGTTTGTTTGTGAGTTATTGCACAGCATGAAGCAAAAAAGTAAAGTAACATAAACCAACAGATAAAGGATTCATCAATTGCTGTAGCTGGGTTTGCTACAGCTACCATGCCCATTCCAGGTGGTCAGATTTAAATGCACCTGTAGCCTGTGTGTGGTGTCGGTAAGAGAGCAGAAACAAACCGAGCACAAAGGTTGTACTGTCACCACACGTTTGGCATTCATCTAAATGTCTGTAGTTAGTTCACCTGTTGCTTATATCCTTGCTTTTATTCACTTACAAGTTTTACTTAAATGGTTCTCTTGTAATGTGTCACAGATGTAAATGAGTAATGTAAAATGTTTACACTTCCTGAACCAAATTTCAATGAAATACTTCTGCAAACAATGTAAAAAGGGATCAAATGTAAATTTCATTTTTCCAAACAATCAGAGATGAATGACAAAATGTAAATGTCCTGACTCTGACTCTCTGATGTTTCACTGCCCTCTAGTGGAGAGGCTTTTATTCTCACATTCAGGCTTCATCATTCAGTGCTCCCTAAACGGGATAAATAAACATTTTAATTTATCATTTCATTTATGATATAATATGTATAATCCATCGAGCAACGCCCCCGAGTCTTCGTTACCCAGCTTCCCTGAGTCTCCACAGTCCCAGCAGCTGGTTTGCCATTCAAAGCCTCAGACTCAGCAACTGGTGTGCGAGCCTCATCCTTCCCACTTCCAAGAGCCTCAGCTAACAGGGTTCCCAGTGACCCAGTACCTGTGCTTCCCAGTAACTCTGCCCCCGTGCTTCCGCATGACCCAGCCTCCATGCTCTCAAGAGCCTGAGACCACCCAGTGCCCCAGAACCTCAGCCAACCTGTGTCCCAGAACCTCAGCCAACCTGTGCCCCAGAACCTCAGCCAACCTGTGTCCCAGAACCTCAGCCAACCTGTGTCCCAGCCTCAGCCAACCTGTGCCCAGAACCTCAGCCAACCTGTGTCCCAGAACCTCAGCCAACCTGTGCCCCAGAACCTCAGCCAACCTGTGTCCCAGAACCTCAGCCAACCTGTGTCCCAGAACCTCAGCCAACCTGTGTCCCAGAACCTCAGCCAACCTGTGTCCCAGAACCTCAGCCAACCTGTGTCCCAGAACCTCAGCCTGTGCTCCTGTCCTGCCAGAGCATCTTCAGCTCCAGCCCTCTTAACGTTCCTGTTGAGGCCTGGTTCCCCATTGGCATGTCTGTCCATTGCTGTGTCCCAGTGGGAGGCCCTGCCAACAACTGCATCCCTGTTGTAGGCCCTGCCCACTCTTTTGGGCCTGTCAGTGGCCTGGCCTATACCTGCCCATGTTTTTACGTTGACGGCAAGACAGAAATCTCCTCGCCGCCGCCTTCCCAAACTGCTCTCACCGTTTGGTCGGCCTCCCGTCCTCCCTCCTGAACTATTTGCGCTCATGCCCTTCAGGTTCCTGCTCCCTCCCTCTGCCCTGCCGCCCACCTGAACTTTTCTGCTCCCTGAACTCTAGCCCTTGGTTCAACTCAGCTGCAGACTATTAAACATCCTGCCTCAGTGCACAGATGAACTGTACAGGACTGTACAAAGATTAGTGGGATTCAAAAATAAATATAAATAAAATAAAAAAACTTTGTTCTCAGCATGCTTCTCTTTGAACTCTGTTCTGCTGCAAAATATTCCTATGAAATCTATTTTATCTTTCTATGATTAATCCACTTGACCAGCTCATGAGTACCCCCCCCCAAAATTTTTTTTATCCTGAACTGTGATTGGCTATTCACCCTGTCAGAGCTGAGACTAATGATAAAACTGACTCTTCTCTTTTTAAGGCTCCTGTTTCTTAACACATCAATGAATCATTTTTAATTGTTTGATAAATAGTTAAAATAATAATAATAAATACTTTGCATATCTATTTCACAAGACCGGTGCATAGGACGGTAATGCACACTGTCATACTTGCAATGAAGTAACTAGCATGTACAGGACCAACACATTGCTAATTCATGTAATCTTGCAAGTTTGACTGTGTGCAAATGGTAAGTACTTTAAATTTGGACTTTTAGCATACATCTTATTTTTGTGTCAATAAAGAATGAAGCTAAAAATGTATTTATGTTTCCATTATTTTGTTTTGAACTGAGATATAACAGGTGAATTTTAATAGGTTATTTTTAAAGGTAAATCATTTATTATTATTTATTTGTGTGTGTTTTTGAAGGCCACCCTGCGTCAGTCAGTGCACCAGTCGGGCTACCCCAGTGTTGATGCTCCTGCACCCAAGGGTCTCACATTTTGAAGATAACCTCTTGTTAAGTTTTTATGTCCTGTAAAAAAATAAGTTTGCCCTAAAACAAGTTTGGTACCAATAGGACTTATTTGTGACGTGAGTTCTTCCTGTTTGACTGATCATATATGTTAATCATCTAAAGAGGAAGGAAATGTAGGCGTTAAAAACAGCCTGATATCTGTCTTCTGTTCACTCACTGCAGAGGAGGACAGTCTTCTCTCAGACGATATCCTTCTTCACTGTAAGTAGAATAATTTATCAACATGTCTGTACTGTTTGAGTCCTGCTGTGTTCTTATTAATCTGCTAACATGTTTTATTGTCCCTAAAGTCACACAGAGAGATGAGAGGAGCAGCGATGACTTTAACTGCAGCAGTGAGTGGATTTATCGTCCTCCTCCTCTCTGTGTCAGGTACTTCATATCTACAGTTACATTCATTTAATCTAAAGAGGGAAATCTGAGGAGATGTGGGACTGATTAATGCAGACTGAAAAGTGTGCTTGATGTTACAGGAAATCTTCTCAGAAACACTATAAACACAGTTTTAATGTATATCATTGTATATCTGTTTTAATGTCTAACAGGAAGATCTTTAGTTGGATCGCCTTTTTCATATTATTTCTTAAGCAGTTTGTTTTCAGAATCTTTCATACAGTTTCTATCGACATGTATTTTTTATCCTTTTTAACATTTTTTGGATGGAAACTTGTTTCCATGATGCGTTGACAGCTTTTAAGATCGTATTTTTAAGTATGAGTGTCTGCTCTGTTTCTCACACCTCATAGTTCTGCTTTTTTTAAAGTCTTCACACTTACTTCAACAGCAAACTTACCACAGACCATCCAAGTATGGCAAAAAGTCTTTAATAATCAATTCATAGTTTTCACATGACATCACACGCTTATGGAACCGCCCACCTGGCGGGCGATAAAGACTCTGTAGCTGAACGCTACTGAGAAGTTATTGGTCTCAGTGTTTTTTTATCAGTTTAATTTTTCCATGTTTCAAATGAGAGACAGTTGTTGTTGAATGTGATGCACTAACCGACGAGGAGACGAGCCCGGGTTGTTCTTCTACAGAATGTTTGAAAGAAAACCCAGAGAGGAGGAGATTGTGGATTAATGCTGTTAGACGCTCTGCTGTCCCTGTGAGGGAACAAAAGAACAGACTTCTCCTCATCATGACATTAAAGATTGTGTTAACTTGATCTAAATATTCCTGCCTTTAACGAACATTACTGCCCCAGAACACTGACTGACAGAGACCCAGATACTATCGTCAGCTAACCTTAACTTATGTTAGCTTGTTAGCACTCACCGATGTTTGGATGATGAAGAATTTCTTGCCCTTCACTTCCTAAACGAGCATTATTGACCCAGCCACATCAAAAATACATAAAACTGTCTTTTCATCCTACAATGGTGAAGGAGAGGGATTACCCTCTAAATATAACATCTCTAAAGTGACGTTCTTCTCTCTGATAATCAATACTTCCTCTTACAACCGTAAAGTTCACAGGTCTAAATAACACATTTAACGTTCTCTACACCTTCAGACTGGATGATGTCTGGTCTCAACGACTTGCAGATTAACTGTAGAAACAAGTGAACATCTTCTACTCTTCCTTTAACTGTATATACAAATGGACAACATCCCTCAGGCTCCTTCTGTTGAACAAGATGAAGCCAAATATCCTCATGATGGGCGCTTACATATTGCATATTTGCAACCAGAGTCTGCGTAGTAGGGATCCACTGGAAGACGTCACGCTACTTCCTCTAACGAAAACATTTAACGTACAGAGAAACATAAAAATCCCTCAGGTGTGTTCAGTCAACAGAAGAACAGATGCATGCATTTAGATTTCATTGTTGACCCCCATGGCCTTTCTGTTATCATGGAGGAGGTTGGAGTTTGACCTATACTGCAGCCAGTCAGCAGGGGGCGCTCTAAATCTTTCTCCTTTGACTGCAGCCGTTGCACCGTCAATTTTAACATACAGTCTATTTTTACACTAGAGCAGGGGTCTCCAACCTTTCTTCATCTGAGAGCTTCTTTGAAAAAATGAAAGTGGCCAATCAAATCTCTTGCATTCATTAACATCAGCTGAATGAAGCTACTGTTTGTACACGTGTGAAATTGCAAAAAGCCAATGCTATCAAGAATCTTAAATTCACATCAAGGTCCAAGAAAAAAACAT